CGTAGCAATCAGCAATCGCTACGTTATAATGTATGTATGTAATGTTGCTGCCACTTAAACATATCATAGGTAGCTGATGGTCATAATAACATAAGCTAACATTGAGTCTGGTAGAGCTAACTTGAATGAGATAGCAAACGTCAGCAAGTTAATTTGTTGTTTGTCTGACTCGTGTCTTAGTCTACAACTAACTGCTACGAATAACATTACTGAAGTATGTCCTGAAGCTGACTGTCTTGTAGAGAGGAGGAGGATATTGTTGTTAGAGACTTCACTTAGACTACATTCATTCGATATCTTTAGTTACTAGATAGTAGTTACTTTGCAGATTCAGATTTGTAATTTAAAATAAAAATAAACTAATAAAGTGATGTAAGCTATCCAACAGTATGAAGTAATATAAAAATAATTGACACCAAAACCAAACTAAAGGCTTTCCAAAACTAAGTTCAAAATATGAATTATCGGTCTCCTTGATTAAGCATTATTGGTATCGGAATAGGCCCCTAAAAATTTTGTACATTCTTATATTTACTGGAAACAAATAAGACTGTTGCTGAAAAGACCAGCAGCCTCTGCGTACATTGGTTCGTCGGGTGAGGCATCCTGCAAATTCTACTGGGTTATTTTAATAGTGAAAATTAAGATGATCGTCTATCACTCCATGAGAGATTTTCATATTTGACTACATAATGGAAGCATGAAGTTCAGTCCTTAGTCAAATCTGTATTTAAGTAAGTAAGTACATACAAGCAAAACCTACATGTACACAGCAGAACTGCCCTCTCGCTGATGCACAGCCAACTACTTACTACACTTCGGGCCTCTACAGCATGTAACAGGAAGAGGGAGCTGTTCTTCCAAAGCAAAAGGATGAAGTTTAGAAGTTTCTAGTAGATAGTGGTCATAGATATAAAGAGGATAATCCAAGGCTTCCTGCAGGTTAATGGGATTAAAAAATATGCAACTGTTAATTATAATATCTTTCATTTTGTCAGTCAATTATCCTTGAATTCTCTTCCGTATGTAGCTGAACTGAACAACTCTTACGAAGATTGCTGTAAAAATTAATCCTGTTCTAGTTTGTTCAACACTAATACTAAAGCAGCACTTTTAGACTTTCATACATCCAAACCTAACAAAACAACAACCTGAATAATGTATTCAGCACCATGGTACCTCTTCTCTACTAACTCTGAACACACAAGTCTGTCTCTGCCACCCTCCCCCCTCATTTTCTGCTCTCCTGAACCTCAACTTATCAGGCAAGCCGCCTTGCTCTGACCCCCAACACGCAACACACCCACACACCCAGCCCCCACTGCAGCAGGGACAGGGTTAAAGGGGGGTGTAACATGTCCTGGATATGAGAGGTGGAATGCAAGGCCAAGAGGAGATGTTGGAGAAAGGCAGGGGGGTGATAAGCCTGGTGGGTGGAGAGAGAGTGGGATGGATGCAAGGAAAGCGGGAGGAGGGAGTGAAGGAGAGACAACACTGGATTCAGTCAGATGGGGGGGTAAAAAGAGGAGGGCGGATAGACACAAGTTTGACATACTTAAGACAAAGACCACAGCAATTGTGAGTCGGGTTGATTTAAGCAGCTGAGGAAGGAGCATCTCTCTGTAACTACTTCATCACAACAGTACAGGAATTTGATGCCGCATGTGGAAAAGAAAACAGAGACTCTAGGACGTAATCAGCTCTACTGACAACTCTGGATAGTGTAGACAAGAAGCAGCAGGAGACCAGAGCTGCAGGAAGCCAACATACCATCACTAACTAGATAAGGCTTCAGGAGGGAACCTCCAAAAAACACACCAAAAGCTCTTTCAACTTAACGCAAGGGAAGGAAGGGGAAAGTAACCCTGGTGCTGGAGAGGAGTCAAGATTTGAAGGGATAAAGAGAAACCTAAAAGGACTTTGTTTCAGTGTTATATGAGAACGTGTGCGTGGAGGACTGACTGAACTGAAAGTGGCTCTGAGAAGAAGTGAGAACCGCAGCAACAATCTGGAGGACGAACAGCAAGAGGTCCACCTAGCCCCACAGCACAATGTGAGTACAAGTGCAGCTGAGTCGATCAGGCACATTTAAATTATATTATTATGACTCAACCGTCGTGGTTGTCTTCATACAACCGAGTACAATGAAAAGGAACTAAAAGATTATATTTACTAATATTCAACATAAAGCAACGAGTGTAAGAGGTCTGCGACACACAATTAACTATTGCAGCTGCTTCGTTCCAGACAATAGAATAATAGAATGACAGAACAATAGAAATCTCCGTTCAGCATTCAAGCATGACATTGTAAGAACTAGCTGAGCATTACACACTATAGAGAGTTTAGCATCAATCAACAAGATGCACTGGGTGACTACATGCCACCATCCAGTAGCTACATCAGCTGCACTGCACAATATTCCCTAATTTGTAATTCCTTAATTTGGATCAAACAATGACATGACGTGTTACTCAAAGAAATGCTATTCAAACAATAATAAGAACAGTGAGTAAAATGGGTGGAGCACCTAAATGTATTTTCAGTAAGGGGCGCAATGAGTCACCTCACACACATGTGTATGTGCGCATACACACTTTCCTGCCAGTCCTTCCTGCATGACCTTCAACCTTGAAACAACACTTGAGACAACAATGGGAGACAGACGTGGAAAATAAACAACTCCACTCAAGCAGCCAGGACAGCATCATAAATAATGTCTTCTACTGTCAGTTCTGATATTCAGTGAGTGTGAAATAGAAGCGTGATTTGGGGTGTTTCTTTTTTTCTTACATCCTTTCAATTTTAGCTTCAAGTGAACATTTAACCAATAAACACCCAAACATAGCTAAGGAGTGTTTCTGCGCAGAGAAATAATGTTGGGTATATATTCAACATCACGCTAGCTGAACTAAAAAAAAAAAAAAAAAAGAGGAATACACTGAAACACACTCAGAGCCGGTTGACTGGTTGTTGGATTGGCTAAATGAAGCAGCTTTTTCACTTAGACCCTTCCTCAACTGTTTCAGCAACAGCAGCAGCTTGTGCTACATTAGTACTGTTATTATAATAATGTAACCTGTCACACACCACCACCAATACAGGTACAGTCCTCCTTTGGTCCCTACACTTCAGCAATAGAATCTCGCACGTCAGAGCATCCTGGTGTTGTACATGTACAGTAACATGATGCCACATGTTTAACCGTACCACTATGCCAAAATGGTACTTCAGCAGTAAAGATACGTTGTGAGCAAACAATTTACTATGAGAGATTTACCACCATTGCAGTACAACACAATCATTTTCAGATTAACAGTAAGGATTGTGTATGTGAAAGCAGTCATGTTGACTAAAAGGAAAGACTGACAGGTTGACTATGTCATCCCTACTGGGATTTTTCCATTAGTGTACTTGTTTCGGGCAGCTGACCCATTACTCAGAGATGTCCCCCGTCTGGCTGGGGCATCACTGTCTCCTGACCTCTGAGAAGTGAGGATATCCTGTACCAGACACAGCTGCGTACCACATAAAATCTGTCGTAATACAGAATGAATGCAGACTAAGGAGGAGAGCTTCCATGGAGGACCTGGCCTCACAGTTTGAAAATATGAGCTTTGAAAGACCATTTAGTGACACCAACCCCCAAATGTAAAATTATAAAACAAACAAAAGGCAAGGAAGTTAGTTTTTCTATGACATACTTAACACTATAGCAATACTGGAATACTTTTTAGGCTGATGGGAACATCTGAGAGAGAAAATCTGATAATGATATATGGGCTATTATTTGTTGTTTTCCGTTAACAATAACAAACCTTTAATAAGGATTCCCTACGTTGTTTTTTTTCTTATTTTGTCCAACATTTTATAGTTAAAACATTACGTTTTGAATATATCAACTAAATGTATAGACGTGGAGCAATTTCAGCATCACGTTTTGTTCTGTTAACAGTGGCTGCATTTGAACCGTCTTTAATACCATCTCTACTTAACCCACAGGCATGACAACACATATGAACACAAGTACACGTGCAGACAACACCTACTAGTACACAAAAAGACTTTGATGACAGTTAGCCTTCATCTCTCAATTACACAATCTACATATAGCAATTATGGGCCCCCTTCCTTTCGGCCAATCAGCTCCCTGATAATCATCACCTTACCAACAGCATCACACAAGGCTAGCTTCCTGATGGATAAAACCTCTAACCTCTTAGTGAACCCAGAGCCAGCAGGCCTTTGAAGAGTGGAATCTGAATGCACCAGACTACAGTAACATTGTACGCAAATGTTTGGATACCCCTTGACAACTAACATTTTTTTGGGGGGGGGTGTTATTTAAAAGATGTCAACACAGCCTCTGGCATATGGAACAAAAAACACAACATTTCAGCAAACATTAATGCATACTACTTTATTTCATAAGTTGAACAAAAGTAAAAATAGCAACCCAACAAGCATGTCAAAAATTGTCATCTGGTGCCAATTTTAAAGCTTTACATATTCTCTTTAAACCTTGTGCAAACATGCAATAACCATGGGTTCTTCTAAGCAGGGGTTTCCAAACTTTTGCATTCAACTGTACTCAGTCTCTAAAGATGTGTTTTCCACAAATATAAGCTCCAAACATGCTAATCAGGAATTCAAAACATCTGTACTGGCACATGCAATTCTGTCATTGAGTGATCAAATTTATATGTCTATTTCACATTGATATACGCTTTTCTGTCCACAGTTCACTATGAGTATGACTGGTACTCTAGAGAAGGGGGCCCACCACCAGGCCTTGGACCTGTCTGAAGAACTGTCGCCTCATCACCACCACCATCACCATATCAACCACCTCCAGCATCTTCACCACTCCAACTCCCTGGCCTCCACCACCGCTGTGGGTGGAGGAAGAGAAACACCTTCACGTGTGGTCGTACCTCCTCCTTATTCTGCAGCCGAGAGCGGTGGTGGAGGCAGTGACGCTCCTCTGGAGCTGCGGGGGTCCCTGGACTGCTGGGCCTGCTCTGTGCTGGTAACGGCTCAGAACCTGATTATTGCCACGATCAATGCCTGCCTCGCTGGACTGGTGTTCGGGAGCATCCTGACGCCAGCCATTGTCATGGTGGTGTTTGGCTTCCTCTGCCACTCTACAGTAAGAAAGGGGGAGACAGGGAAGAGGGTGGATGAATGAGTGCAATTTTGATTTTATTTGTGTGGCCAGTGAGAAGTTCACTAGTTCGGACAATTTCTATCCCAGCTCCAGGATTTGCATTTATTCTGTGAGAGAATACGTAAGTAAGTAAGAGCATACAGACATTTAATGCAGACCTGCATTGCAGACAACTGCAACTGGACAAAATGTACCCCTGGTAAATACTTCCATAGTATATTATCAGACAATTAACTTGTTGACATTAAGTCTAATATTTGCGTTCACAAAATCGCAAGATGGATGAGCAGTGAACATAATACACCTCAACATCCAACAGACAGTGAAAACAGTTCTTTGGTGAGAAAGTGAAAATGTGCTTGCATGTGGGGAAGGATAAATGTTTACACACATATTTGCTACATCTAAACAAAAGATGAGTGGAACAGCAAGATGGCTACATCTATCTTTTTGTGAAACATCTAGGAGGTCCTAATCTCATAACTTTGATCCAGAAGTTTGAAATAGTTGTGCCTGGGGCTTAGGGTGGAGTTTGGCTCCATCAGTGATGAGATGTTTTATAATCTGATAAGTCTGAGGTTCTCTCAGATGTTGAGGAGATAGGTGAACGGGAGGGAGTGCAGGGAGTCAAGGGAGCCAGATGTACAAAAGTTAAACACTGCTTGGTAGCTAGTTGGGGATTCAAGGACGCTTGGAATGGAAAAAATAAGAAAATGTACAGAATGTGATGAGAACTGCTAGAAAATATTAAAGACGATGTAACGCAAACAAAATAACCTACTTGACCCAGTAGTCAGTAGGATTATCCAGGGCTACCCCAAAAAGTTATCATGGTTCAGAGACTTTTAATGCATACCGATGGCATTTCTGTGTGCCGATGACCTCCTTAATGACCAGAGAGACCAGGATTCCCTCTGTTCTCCTGCTCTCTCACAATTAGACCTCATGTGACAGCAGCTTAGAGAGGGATTAACCAGGACCTGGGAGGACGGAGAGAGGGGGATAAATAAGAGAAAAAAAAGGGGTGAGAAGAAAAGTAGAAAAAGACAGGTGGGTTCAGTATTTAGTGTTCTTTGTATTGAGCAGGCAACATTGAGTAAACTTTCAAGATATTTAAGGGGTATTTTGTTTGCAACAGTTGTGCAGATACAAACCCAACACAATATTTCACACGAGCACCCTCTTAAGAAGAGCTTTATCCATTAAACCTAGCTCAGATCTGGAACCATACAGGAGGCCTCACCAAGTAAAAACAAACACGGGCATTCTTCTGTGGGTCTTATCTGTTACAACTCCAACCCTCAAAGCTCCCCTGCACCCTCCTTGTACCCAACCATGTACTGCAGTTTAAACCATCTCTTTCACATGCTCACTCTGTCTGTCTGTCTGTCTGTCTGTCCTGCCTGCCTGCCTGCCTGCCTGCCTGCCTGCCTGCCTCCCTCCCAAGTTTTTCTTTAACTCTCCAGCTGGGATTTCTTTCTGGCCAGCTGTAATTCTACATCAGGATAGCATCACATTATTTCTGTATGTTTGTATAAAAAGTATCAAATGCCAAGAGATCTAAAACTTACAAATTTCAAACTTTTCAATACTAACACTTTGAATATCAAAACGTAAAAGTATTATATTATACAACTAATAAACTAATTTCCTCCTAAAATGATTTAATGAATCAAACCATATCTTTGACCTTTCTGGAGCTTCAGCTAAGTGATCAAATCAAGCCCCGTCAGCATGCCCTCTACTATAATAAATACTGCTCTCCCCCCTAAGCTCCCTCAGTCCTGCAAACCTTTTTAACTCTTTCCTCATAGCACTTTCCTTATGCATCCACTTCATCCTTCATGGGGCGATAAGGATGATTCAGGCCTGCTGTCTCTCTATTCCTCTCCCACACTCAAATCCTGACCCTTTTACCTCCTCTCCCACTCCCCAAGCGTTACTGCTCAGCAACAAGTGAACGAGCTTTGACATGATCAACATATTTAAAACAGAGATACTAATGATGTGATGGTTCACAGAAATGTCTACTAAGTTCCTTAGAGTTTAATTTATTTTGTTTTTGTCAAAATGAAATTCAATGGGCCACTGGTTCACTTTCTGTGTCTGTGTGTGTGTACAAGAGAGAGACAAGTGTTACATTGCAGACTACCAACTGGTGTCTGTCCTCACATCATACACACATACCACACAGAGCAGGTCATCTGCTGTCCTCATCTATTCTTCCCGGCGCTTCACACAAGTAGTTAAATCACTGGTGTTCTATATGTACAAAAGACACCTCTAAATCCAACTTTAAAAAACTCTGCTTGACATGGACAATTTTAATATATAATGTAAATGCAGTAGATCTAGGGGGAATGGTGTCAGTGTTACATCATCATCATCATCATCATCTACTGTATAATGCTGAAGTGTCTTTGAGTAAGACAGAGTCTTCACCAGCTGCCGGCCAATTTGCTCCACAGCTGTCCCTGACTTTGACCCCAGCCTGAAAGCAAAGACCAGTTTCTCTAAGCCTTACTTCACACATCATCATAAGACATTCAGATCAGAAGAAACAAGATGATAACTGGATAAAAGCCAGTCTGATATCCAGTGGAGCTGCTCAGTGGCCAGCAGATGAGACTGGGATTTGATTGGGCTTCCAGGCGTGAGTGTTGTGCATTCCTGAAAATGTATTCCTCTCTCAAGCTCGCCTGCTCAAATAAAGGTTTTTAAAAAAATGTAGACAGTCTGAATGTCGAACTTACTTCTACGACATCCTTCCGCCACATCATTCCAACTGATGCCTTTCTCCTCTTTCCAGGTCCGCCCTCATGGGACGACCCCCTACTGTTCAGACCTGCTGACTGATGGAGGCTGTGTGGCTCTGCTGGTGGTGGGCTTCCTCTTGGTCACCCCTCTACTCGTCTTGGCGCTGGCGGCATACTGCCGCCTCGCTCGACACCTCCAGCTGGGCCTGTGCTTCATCCCGTACAGCCGAGCCGTGTACAAGAACCTGCCAGCCACCCGGCACCGTGGCCTGGGCACTGGCTGCTGTGGTGGCCGAGATGGAGCCGATGGTAGTGGGAAGGGAAAGGTCTGGGTGTGAGGTGAAGGTGGGAGGAAGGGGGAGAGGGAGACCATTAGATCAAGGGTATGGGGGGGGGGGGTTGTATGAGATGACTAAGAAAAGGCAGTGGCTGGAAGGAACGGCAAAGTGTATACCACGGAAAGGAGGAAGTTGTATATGACAATTACAATAACCAGCTCAACATCCTGGAAGACAAGTTACACTGTTATCAATACTGACTAATGACTTACTCCCCATACCTTAATGTCTTTGTCCTTAAGCAGCATTACTGATTGTTCAGAAGAAAAATTAATATGGTGTATGAAGGAATTTTGTTGGTGGGTATTATTCCACACACTGGCTGTTAGTGGAATTTTAACAATGTTGTAACTTTCCAGTTACAAGTCTTTAAACACTGAGCAGAGGACTATTTACAAACGTGGCGTGTATTCTCTCTAATTCTCTAATACTGAAGTTGTAATTATAAAGAATAAAGCATCTAATCACACCTGCATACAACCATAACTTTCCTGAATTAATCAGGGAGAATAAGAAAGGTGAAAATAGCACAGGTTGTATTGACACTAAAACATTAAACTTGTATCTCATCACATATTTGTCATTATGAAAAACTATTTGTCTAGTTTCCTGTTAAGTTGTTGCAAACTGTGACTGCAAATATTTTCTTTTAATAAATAAAGTTTTTGGATTCCACTTGAGTTTTGTCTGTCCTGTATTATCAAGGAAATGGATGGGTTGAGTCTACTACTAACAAACTGGCCTCAGTACCAGCCAAAACCAATGTGAATGTAAGTACACACAGTTCAAAAACACTTCCAGGTGCCACCATCGTTACACAGCGGACGTTGCACACTTCCGTGGAAACAGTCACTATTGTTAAAAAACGTCCCTTGAGAAATCAGGCCTGAAAAATGATTACAGTTGTATTCATACAATGCATGTAGGTAAAGCCTTGTGACTGAGCAGTCAAAACTCTACTGTAGTGGGCTGAACAGTATGCAGTTAATGTCTCTCCCAAGTGGTGAAAGAGTGGAACAACACATGACACAAACAAGCACAAGACTGTTCAAATTATACATGTACCACCCCTAACTGAATTGACCATATTAAATAGACATGCTGACCTGTAACCCAATATTAATTACTTTCGGTGAATTTGGGAAGAGGCAGCACAGAACTTTACATGTTTTAAACTTAATCACAATTTTTGATTTAAATGTATCTTGAACAACTGCCCCAGTACATTTGTGTATTTCTTCAATACATGAATATGCCAATTACACACACACTGTAACCAAACGATGACAACATATTTATCACAGCAATCTTAGCTACAGCTTTGTCCAGATGGAGGAAGTTGATTTTACTTTCACATGTTTATCAGGGGAGAGCGCGAACGCAGTCCCCCACTACCAGAAATTATGCAGTCGAGATTCCCACATTTGGGGAATTCGCAGGGGTCAGCACAACCGGAGTGCAATGGCTGAGCCTCGCCCTGGGTGAACCACCTTCTTGATCATGGTATCTCCCCTGCCAGGTAAGTATGAGTTGTACATGGCGGACTGGGGGACGTCATTCAGCTACATACCAGTTAGACTGATGGTGTAAGGAAATAAACAGTAGTATACTTTTAGGCACAACACGACCATCAAATGGTATTAAACTCTGGCACCAGTCGTATAACACCTTAAACAAAAAACCCTCGATCTGAGTAGTTTATATTCTTGAATTTCCCCATCATGCTTTGCGGCATTGTTTGGGTGTCACGCTTCACGTAGTAAGCTACTTCCGGGATCTCACTTTGGCCAAACAATATACACATTTGCGCTCAATAAACTATATTTTATATGAGTTATATATATGTGTCTCACTTGATATAAATGTGGCACAACAATTGAGGGCTCCGTTTTCAGCTTTGGTTACATTTATCGATTACAAGGACACATGTACAGTGGCATACCGAACCACCTCTGCGATCACTGCAGTATAAATAAATGTCTGCAACTTCACCAAGAAGCGGAATTAAATCGGAATGAAGCGGGTAACAGCCTGTATAAGCCTCTGCTACTGACGGGACAAGAATACATCTGAGAAACAAAGCAAAGCGCCAGAAACGTGTTATTGATGCCACAGACATGTTTTTATACGGTGCTCACACACACACACACACACACACACACACACACACACACACACACACACAGAGCTCTGCCTCCATCTGGTGGAGAACCACAGTAACTACACTCGTTACACTGTCGGGTGGGTGGGGGAAGGGCACAGAGTTAGCACCAGCCACCAGCCAAATACTGCAAAATGTCCAAATGGCTGGTAGATTTTTTTTACTCACCACCCAAAAACAAAGGTAATCTACCGAGTGGATGATAACATTTGGACTAAAAAGGTAATTTTGTTAATTTATACTACTTTTGTGGCTCAAATATCTGGCTGTGCCCCAGTAAACTACTAGTAGCTAACTTGTTAGCCTTTTCCGTAAAGCGTGACCATTAACGTTACCCAAAAAAATTATTATTAATTATTTATATTATAAAATTATTATGTTTTCTTCACTCACAATGGAAACTATATTCGAACAAAAGCGTACAAGTTAATTAACTAGTACGTCATGTTGTTTAACGAGCTACAAAACCACTTAGCAGGGTGTAAACTCACCTGGGGAGTAGAGAGTTGAAGGCCAACGAGGGCGCCATGGCAGTGTTACCAGTCTGCTGACTTTCTAACTTAAATCCTCCTGGCGACCTTTTTTTTGTCAAAAGCGACAAGCGACAAATGTAGCGACTTTTTCTGGTGTTATTGGAGACTTTGACGTGAAAGCGCGTTATCACTCTGCAGTTACTGAGCTCAACGAGCAGCGGGGGCTGCGGTGAGCCCCTCCCCCGTCCAAAATCACTCACAGGTGGGCAGCCTCAGCAGCCTCGCGCAGCAGTCTGCAAATGAGTCGCGCATGCGCATGGCCGCCGCCGTTCCCGCTCTGTAGCGGGGTGTCAATGTGTCTTCACTCACTCTCACCAAAAATACATTAAATTTAGGGTTTTTTACTCACTTTTTGTCTCTCCCGTGACATTATTCCTCTCTCCTACAGCGTCCATTAAATGCGGTTACATCAGGCAAATTGCCAATTATGCAAATTAGGCGATGACGTCATTTAGCGACTTGTAGCCACTTTTAGGACAATCCAATCCAATCCAACTTTATTTGTTAAGCACTTTAAAAACAACCAAAGTTGACCAAAGTGCTGTACAGGAGAATAAATAAGACATCATAAATGTAAACAGTGATGGTGATGAAGACCACTGTGAGGAATATAGCCTATAGCTACTTTCCTTAAAGAATCCAGTTAAGTCCAAGTCGTGTCACGGCCCTTCTTCCTGCAGTACAGGATGTAAATGACTGCAGAACTAATACATTCAATTAATATGAGTAAGCTAATGTTACCTTACATTATATTAAGCACATGTAACGCATACTTAAATAAAAAAAACCACGTAAATAAGTAGCCTGGTAGTTGGACGTTGGTTATGCAAATGTACCGTAAATAGCGGTTAAAGGGCATTATAACATACAATGCAGTATGTTTTGGTTATTTAAAAATCCTACAAAACTGATGCAAATTATATATAACAAGAAAAAAGCAGTATAATTGCAGCAAATTAAAAAAAAAAACACTCATTACTCAAGGAAAATTAAAATGGACAACAATAAAATCAAACAATAAAAGTTAACAACCAGCCTTTACATGAGCCTGTCAGTTACTACATTTTAAAATCTTAGGCGAGTTAGATACAGTGCACTTAGTTTGTCAAAGTTTGTCTAGCTGACTACATTGTGAGCGGACAGAGGTGATGAGTAAGTCATTTCCCAGCTTGGGATCAATAAAGTATATCTATCTATCTATCAATATTATTATTATTGTCCAACAGTAAAGCTGCTTCCATAGTTCCATAGTGATTGATATGAATGATCACCACTGGCCCCAAAAATCTCTGTGGTCAGAATAATTAACTAATTAACATGTCTTTAGTTTTTACATCACAGTTATATGAAAGAGCCTGCATTGACACAAATTATGTGTGTGATCAAATACTGTATGATTTGAATCTGCCAGTGTGCCCATATGAGTTCTGTAGTTGTCACAACCGTTATCATAACACCAAAGCCACCAGAAACACACTTTATCAGCGCAGAACCAACAGCAAGAGGCTCAATGCAACTGGCCCTTAAAAGACCCTTAAAGCTGGGGTGTGAAGCAGGAGGAAACTCACCTCTTGAAGGTCATATCAGTCACACTGCTGCACCAGGTTTGCTTTCTAATCGTTGGCTGCACATTTAGCCAGGTAATTACCTGTTAAGCCTCTCTGATAGAAGGAGGTCAAGAGAGGGGAAAAACAGAACGGACCGGGAAGTGTGCAGCCATTCACAACGCAAGTTAAGCACTGCTCGAGGAGAACTAGTGCTGCTTTTCTTACCATCTAGGAGCGGGAATTAAGGTAAGCAAATTGTAGTGAAGTGACGATTCATATTTAAGGTCTTAGCTGGAAAATCAGTTAAATTACTAAAAGTCTTTGAAATAAGATTTTAATCTTCTTGAATCCCAAAAAGCAATTATGGATTTATTTCCTCAGCATGTCCAAACATGTGTGTTCAAGCTAATGTGCAGATTATTTTGGTAGGGGAGTGAATGTTACCATTGGATACACAGCGTATGCCTGTGTTTGTTCACAGCATGTCCAAGGCAGGAGATAGGACACCCTCTACCACTTCTGTTGACTCAGCCTCAACAGATGGGTAAGTTTAAATTCACTGGTGTTTGGTGTTTATTGAGAAATTGTTTCATTCATTAATTTGCTGTTTATTGTTTGATTTTCCATCTTGTAGCAAGGATGCTGCCTCCCCATCAGGTTCAGTCTCAGAAACACCAAAGAAATCCTTAAAGAAGTCCAAAAAAACCACAGAGAGTATGACCAAAGTCTACAACTCTGTGCTCGAAAATGTTTTTGGATCAGTAAGTAGCGAACACCCACATTTTGTGATTTTAGTTGAACTAGATGTGACGATCCTCTTCTTGGCTATGATGGTACCGGACCTCTGCTGTCGCCTTGTGACCTTTGACCTATACTGCAACAACAACTGACAATATAAAGCACATTGATCTTAATATAGTTATGGGCCGAGATAGGCATGGGGATTACTTAAAATGTATTATTGATATAACTGATCTCTACAATACAGTGGCTGCTCATTCAAACACTCTGTATGTCAGACATTAAAGCATCAGATTCAGAAGTGAGGTGGAAGTCAGGCAGCATACTTACAGTTTTGTTCCTGATCTTTCTCGGGCTGCCATCACTAAGCCTGGTGTGTCTGTAGTATTAGTGGCTCATTAGCTGAGGCTTAATGCCACACTTTGTTAGGGTTATCTAAATGAAGAGCACTGCCACACTTGGTTGATTCCATCTGAAAATGTTTCCCCTTTTCATTGTGAATATGAATACAAGCCAACGGAAACTGATAAACATGGTCATTCTTTATATCCATTATTTTAATATGCATAAAAACTGTTTTAATTAAAACTTGGTGTCAATATTCTTCAGTAGTATTTCATATTGCAGTGTTATCTTCCTTTTTTATTATAAAAATAGATTAGTATTTGAACCTGTGTTTTTTACTGTTTCTGCAGGACAGGGAATTAGCTCAGGCTGAGTTAGACGGTAAGTGTCACTACCACAGCTCAATGTCATTACTAAGGTTAACATGTTCATTATTTTAGTACTAAATTATTGTATCAGACAAGTATAATACCATGCATATCAATCAGTTACTGTTTATATAACTGCCAAACCCATATTCATTATAAAGTCTTTATTTTTACCTCTCTCCATTTCCTGGCCATTTCTTCCACATTAATAAAAACATTGTATTATTTTAGAATATCAATTTTAGGATTGTGATGTTGCAGCAATGCCATAATCCTTTACAACACTTCTGGAACAGTTGTAATCTTTGTGACTCCTAACCTCCCTTCCAGAGTTGCAGGAGGCCTTCAAAGAGTTTGACTACGATCAAGATGGATACCTGAACTACAAGGATGTGGCTGAATGCATGAGGACCATGGGATACATGCCCACGGAAATGGAGCTGCTGGAGATAGTTCAACAAATCAAGATGAGAAGTGAGCTGAGAATATAAGCAGACAATGGCTATGAACATCAAAAGATGCTAATTTGTTTGGATGTTTTTGCAACTGAGCACCTTTTCCATTTTCTGGCTTCTCTCCTCTCCACAGTGGGCGGATTAATGGATTTTGAAGATTTTGTTGAACTGATGGGACCCAGGATGATGGGAGAGACTGCTCACATGCTGGGACTCAAAGAGCTCCAATCTGCCTTTCTACAGGTCAGTCAGCTGATAATAAAGCAATTCACAGTTACAAAATAACAGCAAAAGAGGGTCCAAAAGAGGGTCAGTCAGCTGAAATCTGTTAATGTGAGCAGACATAAAATGGTCCAGTTGTGTACACCTCAGTTAATAAATTAAAAAAAAAATAATTGTACAAATTCCAACAAATGAAATTGTACTGTTTTCCTCCTACTGTCAACCCATTGTCATTGCTTTCTCTGTTTTTAGTTCGACCTCAATGGAGACGGGAAGATCAACCAGGACGAGATGAGGGAGGCGGTCAAGTCGATGCTGGGGGAGAAGCTGAAGAAAGGAGAACTGGAGGAGATCTTAAAGGAGTTGGATATTAACGCAGATGGAAACATTGACTTTGAAGGTGAGAATTAAGAAGCTCAGACACAAACACATCAATGCAGCTGACTTGTTAACCAGAGGTGGACCTTTGCTGTTCAGTCATATGAAGTCGGTACTGACTCCACTTTGTCTTCTCTCTCCTCCTCTTCAGAGTTTGTGATGATGCTCTCCATTCGCTAGCTGCTGAGACCACTGACTAGGACAGCATTGCTAATGCTTCTGAATCATTCCACACTATCAAATCTTGACAATTTGGTAATGTTTGTAATGTAGATATAGACTTCTACAACATAATGTGTGCCTAACTGTAATTATTGTATGAATGATGAATTGTTAAAGGAATCAGAGTGACGCTGTATGACAACAAATATGGTGCATGCTGTCAAGAGTTATTTTGGTAGATTTGTGAACTTTTTGCAGTGATATAACATGTAAATAAGACTGAAATGGTTTGCTATTTTAATAAAGAAATAAAAAAGATGTAAGTTTTCTAAACTTGCCCTTCAATGAAACACCACAACACCATTATAATATACAATAGAATCAGTAATTCAATGGACTGATCACATTTAAACCTCTCAAACTGACTTTATTCCAAAAAACAAGTCTTTTATTACCATGTCAGGTCATTGTCAAACGAAATGGAAATGATAATGTTAATTATCATCTAGAGAATATAAGTTAAATATAAATTAAATTCATTGTCAGTTGTTAACAACGATGCAGCTTTGAGCTTTGTCACGTCTACTGTCTTTAGAATTGGAGAAGCATTTGCACATCCCAAACCACGGTGCAGGTATGTCCCGAAGAGTCACATTTTAGAATAAAATCCCACATCAGGCCAACATTTGATGGTGGCACTGGAACTAACCACGCAGAGCTTATATCCTATTTGAAAATCTAAAAGCTTAACACTACTGGTAACTTAATCTGCTTATTATTATAACATCGATCAAACTATATGTGCACACAATTCAGAAAGATCTGCAACATGCAGCACATATATTCTGCTGAAATTAAAAGTCTTGTGGTTGGACAAGAAACAGAATAACAGGAGAGATACTCCTTAACTCCTAAAAAGCATAGAGTCACACTGGAATCAGTGTTTCACAGGAGGAGAAGAGATGGATGAGTCACTGCCTTCACCGGTCAGGAAGTAGACCATAAGTTAAAAATTTCATCTGAGGAACTGTTTTTTTTTTTTTTTTTTCATGTACATAACATGTCAATTCTTTCAATTTGATTAAAATTAAAGTATCTGCAGTGCCAGAATGTAGCCTACCAACACTGAAAACAACGAATGTTGGGATTAAACAAAACATATCTCACATTGAGTATCACCAAAACCTTTTAACTTCTGTGTCTGGGTTTTGTTTGGCCAGTAAGTTCAGCAGACTCGTGCACTAAAAGCACCAACTGCAAAAACTGCTCCCATCGATTACCAAGAAGATAGATACTGCACCCGAAAGTTAGTTTTAAAACTGAAAATCACATTACGTCTGTCCACCATGACCCACTGACACGTCTATTTTTTCTCCTCTCAGGGGGAATGTCTGCTCTAACTTTATGTAAACTTTATGACGATCAGAAATACCATCCAAAAAGCAGAGTTTTGTAAACAAATGCATATACGTTTTCCTAGCATGTGAGAACTTGCTTAGTTAATTTTAACATTTTGTGCACTGTGCATGGTGCTCACATTGGCAGGGTTGAGGGTATTCAGGCGTCCCCGCCAAGATGACACACACTGAAAGTGGATGCACTCACTGTACTGTAAGGTTAGATGCTGCATTGCATTAAAGCCCATACGACAGGTATATGAATGCATGTTGTATCATTTGCACAGCTTTGTGAGACTATTACGGATAGATTCAGCAGTTTTTTACTGTATGCTGAAAGTATGTTTTGAGTATTTGTGGCAAGTTTGGACCAACATCATGCATAGGTGTATTGTCCAATGGTTACACTGCAGTCACTCAAAATCACATCACAACATCCTTCGATGTACAGCCCAAAACACAACAAGCAAGTGGCTACAACACCCACACCTCTTGTCTTTCTGTCAATGTCAGTCTCTACATGCTATCAAACCTCTCAATTTCCCTTCTTCTTGCAACTTGTCCTTCATTTTTTTCATTTCCTTCTTCTGTCAGTCCCCCTAAATGGTAGATAGATAAAGATGGATAAGCTTCTTCTATTTTGTCTATCCACAACTCACAGTGTCTTCATTCACAACTGGACAACTGCTCAGCTAGTAAGACTCGTTGACGATCTTCGGTTGTCTACAGCTCATTGGTCAGCTCATCGGCAAATTCAGCCATGATGTCATGCACCCAGATGTCCCTTTCTTCCTGTGAAGTGTCGACCAGGAAGACGGTCAACTTCCTGTCCCAGGGGTTAGCGGCTTCCTGTACAGCCTCCAGCTGGGCCACAAGTGGTTTCTTCTCCACGTGGTTCCTGAAAACGATGGAGGCTTCCTCTGACCACTGCCTCGGCTTCAATCCTGCAGAGAGTCAGATATGAATGAGCAGTTTAACAATATAAAAATACTCCATTACAAGAAGAACAGTAAAATGTACTTAAAGTATCAAAAGCAAATGTACTAATTTCGCAGAAAAATGTCCTTTGGGATACTATCACTATTTTGTATAAAGTAGTAGAACAAGCTGGCAGTGTAAAGTAGTTGGGAAAGGGCAGTTTAATAAAAAAAGGCATCATATTGTATGAGTTCATTATATGTTTTATATGTAAAATATTAATCTGTGTGGTAACAAGTAAATATTGATGCAATAGTAGAAATACAAAATTAGAAATATAAAGAAACAGCAAATGGGAATACTTTAAGTTAACTCTAATTAACTCTAAGTTAGAGTACCTCAAAATAATATTTATGTACTTTAATTGAGTATTCCACCACTGGAGTTTGGACATGACCTTAGTAATAGCCATCACTCCGTTGTGAAAGTCCACTCTACTCACCAGCCAGCTGAGCAGTGATTCCCTGGAACGGCAGCTGTCTGAACTCTTTGATCAGTGGTCTGAGCTGCGTGCAGCTGACCAGCTCGTGTTTACCGTAGTCCAACTCGTACACAGACACCAACCCATTGGTCAGAACTCCTTTCACTAACACACGATGCCAGCTGAGAGAAGTGAGGGAAGAAGTGATATATTTAGGCAAAGCACATATATTTATATATTGAATATTCACTACAGGCAGAAAAATGACAGAAGAACCCAACCACAAATGCTCAGTGGAAACCAGATTAATAGAGTATACTCTAATGTATTGTCTTTCTTTGAGCCAGAGCTAGCTCCAGGCTGTTCAAGATCAAATTTTCAGTTGTGCCCAATGTTTTCATGAATGAAATGAAATAAATAATTGCTTTACTCACTTGTTCTCCACTTTAGCAGCGTATATCTGATTCTTCTCTATGTTGAGTGGTTTCTGCTCAGTTTTATTGTAGTAGAGAATCATCTCTCCCATCAACACCACAAGTTTGTACATATCTCTCCAGGGCTGCAGCACAAAGTGACCTGGGTGGCACGCCACTGACACATAAACATCTATGTTGTTTCCTGAGAAGAAAAAGACTGTCATATGAACATGTGATTTTCTAGGCTACATTAAGGCATAAACGGTTGATTTCATGCCTTGGAATATGTTTGTCTTTAATAAGTAAGATTTCCACTACCTGCTGGGGGCAGCTCTAGTAATGGAGGAAGCTGGAGAGAGGATGAGGGGGATGACGGTGTCTCTGGTGGGCTGGTGGTGGTGGTGGTGGTGGTGTTGCCTCCTCCACCTCCTCTGGGTCCTGACAAAGCCCTCCTGAGATGAGGCTTGGCTGGGACTGAAGTTGACACATGACTCCCATTAATGGAGTTACTGGTGCTAGAAGTCTTGGAGGATAAAGTGGCTGTGGAGATCTTGGCAGGGCTGTGAAATTCAATTAACAAACAAGACATTTAATGTATAAAGTAATGTATAACTTAACTGAATGTAAACAGTGAGGGAATAATACAGGTAAATATAAAAGCAGCAGAAACCTGTGGCTCGTCAGGAAAACATCTGGCCGCTGTTTGAACAGGTCAGACTGGGCCATCTGATGGTTGAGGCTACGGGCAGGGTCATGGAAGCTCTTGTCGGTGAAAAGGTGGATGTAAATGCAGCGCTTGGTTTCATCTACCTTGGCAACCTTGGGGTGAGAGAAGAAAATACTAGTAGTAGCAGTCGTGGTAAGTAAATGTTAAGAAACTAACATAGCAATGTGAAAAAGACAACTATAGGGATAGACAGTTATATGTATTCTTCACTTTCACTGCCCTCAGGCACCACGTTGCAGATCCCTGGTTTAGATGTTGAGGAAGAACAGGTGGCAATTTACCTTCATGCTACAGTCTGTGGTGTTGAGCACTTTCTCTCGAAGCCACTGGACAGCATCTGGAGTCCAGGATCCAACGCTGACAGCCAGGTCTGCGAGACAGCACTTCACAGCCTAAAAACATGTTGATGGATGTCATTTTCTCAGATAATCCTTGTTGGACTGTATGAAGAAGCTGCCCTCACTACAACAGTGCATAACAAAACTCTCCTTGGATCATTGCTCTTGACTGTTCTTGACTACTACTACTTTGAAGGCATGGAGCTGACCTGTGGTGGGATGGCCATGAGGTCACGGAGGAATGGCGGTGGGATCTCTCTCAGCTCAAACACTTCTACAGAAGCCTGCACACCCACATCAATGAACAGGATGTCCAGCACTCTGCTGCCGTGAAGGTTGGTGATCTAAAGACAGGAACATAGAAAGGAAAACGTCTTATTTTTTACAGTTAAAACATACAAACAAAATCGATTTCAAGAGTTATATGGAGGTATAGACTGTTATATATAATGGCTGTTAGATGTTCTGCCAGTTTCAAATCATATTACTCGGCTGACCTTAAGTATTTAGTTATTAGTTCTTTTTGATCTCTGCCCTCATGGCAACCACACCTGGCTCTGTTGTGCAATAATGTGACTTTATCCTTCTTTCAGGCCAACATCAATCGTATGTGGATTTGTTTAATAATTCACAGTCTGAGCTGCAGTGCAGTACAGTGCCTTCTTACCTCTACACGGGACCATTTGCCTTTGTAGCGAGCCAAGCATCCTTTCCCACAGAAGGGTCTGGATACCAGGAACTCTGATGTTACCTGGAAGAGAAAAAAAATTAATCAAGAAACCGTTTTCATCATGCTATTGTTAAATCTGACTGTATTTCCTCTGGATTGGCAAGGTTACTATGTGTAACTGCTGCTTTATGACTGCAATAAAATGATACTGTAAAAGCTCACACAAACATTTCACAGGTCCAACCAGTCTGCTGCAGGTGTACACTGCAATGACACCAGAGATTAGGACTTAGATCTGTGGTAACTTAAAATGGAAAGGGTTGTTGATGTTTAAGAAAATAACATAGCATATGTTAGAGATTTATGAATGGTTCATTTAATCCTTGAAGAGTTACCATCTACATTTATTACAACAGCTGATTGATGACAGCAAATTTACCTGCACCAGCAGAGGGAGTTACCTTAACAGATAAAACCATGTACATTTTGCTCAACTATGGATTACTAAACAGGATATTTACATTACATTATGTTTGAGGATAAAGGATGTAAAAATGCATTCATATTTAATGAAATGACATGAAATGACGTATAAAAATGTAACTTCTGATTATTTTAAATACACTGTCTCTGACAGTGAACTGATGAAAGTTTGCAAGAAGTCTTTAGCCTTGGTAAAAATACATTACCAGACTCAACACTGTGTTTACCTAAACACTGACGTAAAGCGTTACTGAGCTGCAAGTATGAGCTTTAAAGGACAGCACTGGCACACCTAGAAAAAGCATCAGCTCCACTGCTGCTATCCGATTAAGTGGCTTGGCAATGTCTTAACTCCAGATTATCAACCTAATCTCAATCTGTCCACAACTCCGCCTGAACATAGCAATACAGCACAAATACATTCACAAAAGGCTTTTCAGAAGATTGTGTGAGTTCTAGTGTACTCCGTTTACTCACTGTGAATATGGCGCCTAACTAAACATCCTGGAATTAACACATACATATTTAACAGACACATTAGCACATGGCAAGGAAGGTACATATTTCTCATTTCCAGTCAGGAGTATGCAACACATTGGGCACCCTGTGTTCCATTTAGAAATAGTTATTCTATATTGATAAAAACATATATGCAAATATATGGTAATGCAATTGCTGCACCTACTAAACTGTAGAAAGGGTGACGTGTAAAGCTACACAAAGAAAAGGTTGACAACCATGAAAAAAATGAAATGAACAGAAGTAAATGAAATGAGCTGCCAACAGCTTTGAATAAGTATAGAAGTGTAGTTCCAGACCAAGAGTGGGCCTATAGGTCTAAAATAAAATCAAAAACTTCAATAGAACTACAGTGTTTGTTACATATGTATTCTGTAGGGGAGTTGTCACCCTTCACAACCCTCCTCCCACAAGAACAATGGGTCTTACAACAGACATTATTATCACAGTAATGTCAGAAATGGAATATAATATTCATAGGTATGTTTGGAAGGCACTTGGAAGGCAAGCAGTATTCAATTGATTGTGATCTGCAACCTCACCACTAGTTGCCAATAAATCCTACACACTGGTCCTTTAAACAAGCGTGAACAGTGCCTGGGACTATTCTCTGCTGTGGATTACATTTGGTGCTCAAATGAGTATTTATAGTAGCAGGACATTAAATGTGGTATTAAATAAAAACAAACTGTTCATTACAGTGTTCATTGTAATGAACCTGTAACCCAGGGTAACACTGTAGCTTACTGATGTGTTTTTAAGAGTTGTTGGTCAACAATGGAGCTCTATGGTGCATTTGTACTCTGGCTGAATAAAAAAGTAAAACCTTTTAGAGTTTCAAAAACACAGTGAGACATCAGATGTAGCATGGTGTTAACCTGTGAGTGGAAGTATGTCTCTATATTCTCCAGTATCTCATTCAGCTTGGCAAGTCCTCTGGAGGGCAGCTGGCAGTAGACAGTCCCATCTGAGCAGACGCTGCTGACAGTCACGTTCATATATGCACTGTTCACCTGAGGAGAGTCAGTGGTACAAGTTTAGTGTGCCGTAAACACACACTGACCAAACAACACACACATTCACAAACTCTCCTGTACCTGTAACGGGCTGGCTAGCGTCTTGTCCTGCAGGGCTTTCATACAGGCAGCGTTGATGTTGACATCATCATCCTGTGACGTGTCGTACAGGACGACAAGAGGGGTCTGCCCTCTCTCTAGGATCTCAGCCAATAGGATCCTTCCACTTGCCATTGTCTCAAACTTCTTCAGAACGGCAGGCTCCTGACAGAATGGCCCCAGGCCTGGATACACACACAAAATGTGTATTGTGGCTTCAGACAAATTTTTCTCTTTTTTGTTTTGTAAAGATTGCTGACCCCTGGTGTAGTGAAACAAAAAGACTCACCAGCCAGTTTACACTTGGTTGCCTGGAAAGGCAGCTGGAAAAACTTCTCGTGCAGTTCAAACACTTTGGTTTTGCTGATCACCTCTGAGAAGCCATGATCCACATAGTACACCTACAGATCCAAAGGCAAAGACCACAGTGTTCACTAATATATTTTTTTAAATTCCACCATAAGCCTTCCACACAAGGTCATTTAACCTTCAATGACTAGTGTCCTGGATCACTTCTTCCTATTCTCACCTTGACCTTGTCGGCCATGACCTCGCAGACTTGCGCCCTCAGAATCTCCTCTTCCTCCTCTGCCCTGACAGCAACAAGTTGGCCCGAGGATAGAGATGACAAAGGACATGGACTGCTTTGGTCCAGGCCATAAAACTCCCTCATTTCATCCTCCATGGACTCCTGGGCCTGCGAGTAACCCTCACCAATGTACCTGAGAGAGGAGGAGAGACAAACGGGGAGAGATTTATGAACTGTCGAGTCTTAGAGCACATCCACACATATAGTTATCTCCTACCTGAGTATGACTGCATTGGTGTTGGTGGCCTCCACCACCAGCACAGAGGGGTACTCCTCTTTGGGGATCTGCAGAGAAGGCACCGCATGGTTACTTAGCCTCCTACCAAGCTCCTGCCTCACCATCAGCTCCTCCTCACTGATGGAGGAGTTCCTCCTATTACAGTTCTCATCCTCTCCTTCTCCGACTCCAGTGCTGCTCCTCCTGTACAAGATAGCTCTCTTGGGGTTGTCAGGCATTGGGTAGTCGATGGTGCAGATGTCAGAGAGGAGGTGAAGGTTCTCTAGGACATGTCCAGGCAGTTTGGTCTTGTGAAACAATAACAAAATTAAAAATAAGTGCACCTAGCTCCTCAATTTGGCAATGACATTAATATGATAGTGTTTCAAAGGGTTACTGACTTTGTAGGTGTCCTGGAAGAGCTTGGGGAGCGCGTGGGCCCACAGACCATTGGAGTACTTTACCAGCAGCTCCTCCAGTTTCAGCTTCAGGTCAGGGCTAAGGGTGGCAGGGGAGGAGGGAGGGCTTGGGGACGAGGAGGACGATGGTGGAGACTGAGGAGAGCGAGAACCAGAGCGGGTCAGACGGGCGCTGGGGGGTCTCTTTTGGACAGGGGACTGCAGGGGTTTGTCTGCGGGGGTGTTTGAAGTCGGAACAGGGGCAGAGGTGGAGTCAGGGTTAAGGGTGGGTGAAGGGGAGGATGTGGCGGTCTGTTCCTTGGCAGGGTAGAGTAGCAGCTCTGATGGGTTGCTGCTGCAGGTTTTCTCTACCTAAAAGAATAAAGGGAGAGGATTCACGATAAAGCACTTTGTTGGCAATACAGACTGAACATGACTAGTTGGTGAGTTCTTGAAATTATATTCAAGAAAGAAACAATATTTATCTTCCATTGATAGAAAGAGTGGTTCAAAAAGTCCTCTTTAAGAAAATGAATGCTGATTTGTGCTATATAAATACTTTAATGTAGATAATAACTAAAATTATATGACATTACTTAGAATAGTACTGTTGGGTTTCGGTTTGTGTGTTTTTATGTTTGCATGCATCAGATAAATACAAAGAGAAACAAACAAATTTAGACTTTAAATTAAAACATCTGCAAATGTTTCTATTAAATTAGGTTTAGATATATGAAATACTGTCTCTATTCTGACCAGTCAATTTTCTTGTTAATAGGTATTTTTCACTTTACCAGGCCTTGTCTGGAGACTATTATTTTATATAGTCACTGGGATACTTTTTTATACTTTTTATTTATACTTTTATGCAGTCACTGGGATACTTCAACTGTACATGTGACAAGAAATATTAAAAAGGAATTCTTCACGTTACCAGAAACAATATGCATATATTTCATTTGCCTTACTGTATTATAATTGATCACAAAAGTAATTATTTGTGATCATTATTTGAGATAATTATTTGAAAACAGAAATGCTTCTTATAATGCTAAAATATAACAAATAGCATACAGTGCATATGTGCGTCCAGGTCTCCAGGTCTTTGATGGATTCAGTGGGCAGGTCCTGTTTGTACAGCTCTCTGTAGATCTGAGGCAACTTCGACACCCAGAACCCGTTACTGTACTTCCCCAGGATCTCCCTGATGCGACCCTGGACCTGCTGAGGGTTATAGGGCTTTCCTTTTCCCGAGCCGGGGCTCTCGTTTAGATTCAAGGGTGCTGGAAGATTGGAGAAGAAGAAGAAGAAGAAGAAGAAGAAGAAGAAGAAGAAGAAGAAGAAGAAGAAGAAGAAGAAAAGAGAGATTAAACATGCAGGCAATTACTGCTTCGACAACTCTCATCTTCTCGCCCCTGAAACTTGTGGATTGCATGATGATTGCTTTTCTCCACAGCTGAGTCTTGAAATAGACAGATGGTTGATTTGAATCAAAAAAGATAGATGGACGGAAGAATGATAATACAACATATTCACAACCAAAGTTAAGATTCCTTTTGCCAATGGATTCAGCCTTTTCTATTTTAGTTACACTAAAAGAACATGTGAATCCCTTGAATGACAATAATTAAACTGAGCCATGTTATAACAGTATCTAACACTGTGAAGCATAGGTCCTGCACATTTATTAAACAGGGGTCATCTCAAGTTAAAATCATGTCCTCCTCACTCAGGGATGGCTCTTTACATACAGGAAGCAAAGGCTCTTAAACGAGTCAGTTTCTAACTTTAATAGTCTCTTCTGCCTGTCTGAAATGGCTGGAGCCTTCAATATATGTCCCTCAAAGCTCTGCAGTTTATTACATTCCAGTGCTTTCCCCCAGGCTACACTGACCATAGCCCTCCTTCAAACAGGCAACGTGACAACAAACACATTCTTAGTTGAAGTAAAGACTTGTAGCAGAGGAGGTAAGAGAAGGGAGGCTCACACAGACAACTGGGAGCTGATTAAGTTCAAAGCTTTTAAAATACAACGCATGTCTGTAGGAATCCTAGAGAAGCAACTGAGACGAGTTTGTTTCCTTTACACATTACATAATAAAGACGATCTATAATAGAGGGACTGGTGTGATTTAATACTTCAGTAGAAGATAGCCCAGCATGACACGGCAAAACTGTCCTTTACTTAGCTGAGTCTTAAATTTAAATGTCCTCTGGTGACGCTTAGAGCAGGTGGCCAGAATGTGAATCGTCTTAAGTAATACAGGTCTTGGCGACATCTTTGTTCCTTTAGGGGACAAAAAGCTACATAAAATGTATTTTAGGCATAATAAACAGCAGCATGTCCTACTTACGACCAGTCTGTTGGGAGTTTCTGGAAAGGTGAGCATGTACCTCCTTCTGAAACCGTGATGGGAGGGTCATCCTCTTGTCTGATCTGGATACAAGAGAACACAACAAGGAGGAGGATTACTTTCTACGGGCTCTGGGAGAGAAAAAAATATGAAGAAAACAGACTGGAACCATAGTCTTGTCTCTTTTTTGAACCTTAAAAATCATACATTCTCCATCCATCATCTTCGTGCATAATTTTAAAAAAATCACTAAACGCTGACTACAGATTTATGGCTCTGTTGGGTCTGGCTCTGTGCTGCATGTCTGATCCTTAATCTCTTATTAGGCAAAGCACACTCTGAGATCTATAAAAAAGGACTCTAGTAACGTCTAACCACATAACCTGCTTAAGTTCAGTAAAAGACAAAGTCTTTTTTGGTTTGTACCTCAGTACCACAACCCATTTATCAAAATGTCCCATCCCCCATCGGTCTAGAACAACGGGTCCTGAGATATAGCACACTGCATACTGCATTGCACTCACTGTGTGTAGCATATCAGATGCTACTCAAACCCTAGTCAGCATCAAACCGAGAATGCATGGAGAGATTTCTACTCTGTGTAAAAGAGCCATCTCCTTTTGTACACATGGTTGAACTGATTTTAATGTACGTAATTTTATCTTGTAGGTCAATCTCAGTCACCTCAATTATACAGTAACTGCTTTGTTTAAACATTTCTATTGATTCAGCCTCTCTATCCCTTCTTGTCTCTCTTCTGTCACAACTCCTGGCTCACCCTGGTACATAGCTAATAATGGAAGCAAGCAATCAATAAAGAGAGTAAGAAGGCCATTCACTTTGTGACCCTAAATGGCTGTGAGAAGGTTTAAAGGACTTTACTCTCCATACACAGATCTGTGCACTGTGCAGGTGGAGGTGGTCAGAAGGAATGACAGCAGGATCAAACATCACTGATGATCTAGACTTGACACAAACCTACTGCTACTCAGAGTGCTGCATCTTCGGATGACTGATGTAATTGTTGTCCAGTAGAATAAATGTTGAGGTAGCAATGGGGAGGAATTTCTCTACTGGAAGCCACATTTTTATTTTTCTATTAAGACATTGCAACTTTGAGAAGAAAAAGTAACATTATAAGATTAAACCAAGAACAACTATACAAATAACAGCTACCCAGCCTGTCACACAACTTCCTCTCCCCAGGCGGAGGCAGCATTTGCCTGAACACCTACAAAACTCTGGCATCCACATGCAGACTAGCCTCCTCAACTAATTTCTCCTGTGCTTCTAGTTAAAGTATTTAAACTACACGTTGGCTCTCTCATTCTGTTTAAAGAATTTACCACTTGTACTGCCAGGCATCCCATAATGCAAGCACACACACACACACACACACACACAAATGATGACTGTACTGTCCAATGGAAGATCTAGAGGGATACAGAGAGATGTGCTGATTCACTCTGTGTCGGTTTAGAAGCGTTAATCTACAAGAGAATAGAGCAGGGATTAGAAAGGGCTCACGTCCCCCCCTGCTCTGGGCTCGTGTCCCCTGCCGCCACACCAGGCTTCCCACCGTGCCGCTCTATTGTGCTGCGTTGGGCCAGCGGGCACACTGGACACCCATGGAGACACTGACAGAGCACTGATGTCAGTTGTTTTCACAGTGGATGGACGAACAGAGCCGTGGATGGATGGAAGTGGGAGAGCCGGTCAATGAGCTGAACTAATCTTGATTCCATGTTTAAGCAACGCAGATAGATAATATCTCACAATGCTTCTAGATGGCTTCTTCCATAACAATTAATCAGGCTTTTATCGGAGTCCATATCATGATGAACAGCAGTAGGACAGTGAAGCCAAAGTCAATTGGAATCATTGCTAATATTAGAAGGGGAAAATTGGTTTTGGGTCAATTACTAACAGAGGGGGGGATCAAAGCATATTTATGAGTAATCTACTGACAAAATCACAGACAGTGTAAGAGAGAGAATGAATAATGGAGATAAAAATAAATGAAGTTGAACAATGAAAATGTGCCAAACATGTCGAAAGACGTAGAATTAGACACAGACAGAGCCAGACAGAGCGAGAGAACCAGAATAATCTAGAGAGCACATCATCAGCCCAGTGCTGAATAAGCAGCAGTGGGGATGCTGTTTGCTCTCAGAATCCAACCAGAGTTCAACTGGGCTCCCATTCACCAACAGCCTATTCTGATTCAGCTCAGACCACACAGGTGGGGAGGAGAGGATGGGGGGGGGCAGAAAGACAGAAAGAAATAAAGAATGAATAGGGGACATGTACGATTAACTTGGATTTTCACTGATTTCTGGCTGAGGTTAGACTGGATAGTGGAGAGTGACAAGAAAATACACGAAAGTGGGTAATTCACCACTCTAAAATATTAAATTTTTTGTAATTGTCTCAGATGGTTTAAAGAATTTTGAAAGCCTGTTGCACTGTAGAGTGAATCTACAGGAAATGTTTTGGCATGAGATTTAGCTTTTCTCAGCATGTTGGTCATTTACAAATTCCTCTACTCTGTTTCCTAAGCAGTGTGGAAGCCTGGCTGGTGACTTCCACATATAATGGTGCTAGTAAATCCCACAAATATGTGGAGCTTTAGCATTGGGATGTAAGCTACAGTTGTCTTTTCATACTAAATGCCTGAAACAAATCATATTTTTATGTAGATTATTCAAAGGCAAAAAAGACTGTATTTTGGATATATTTTATCTCAAACAACATAAAAGTGATCACTTAAAATCATCTAAATTCATACACTTATTTGAACTAGGTCATTTATAGGTAACCTAAATTAATAATTCAGTTGAGCTTCTCCTCTGTGTCCAACTGCTTACACTTAATTAGCTCCTAACCGTTCCCCTTACTCACTTCTCTGTAGGAGGGTTCCCTTTCCTGTTGGGTGTGTTCTGATTGGACATCTTGTGTGGATGCGCCCCAGTCTTGCCCTCTGACTGGCCATCCCTCATGTCCCTCGCCTGTCTGAAGTCTCCATGTCCTGACCCTCGGCCGCCGCCTCCTCCTCTACCCCCGCCTCGCCCGCGGTGGTTCGGCTGCCTCAGAGAGGTTTGAGGTTTGGCTACAGAGAGAAAGATAAAGCCAACAAGGGAAGTAAAACTATGGACACAGACACACAGGCACACACACACACACACACACACACACACACAGAAACACACCCTGACTCAGCTGAACCTGATGCTGAGACAGGCCAGTGTGTCTGTCTGGAGGACACAGTGTCATAGATATCTGTGGATAACTGTAGATTCAGTAGATCTGAAGAACATCGTAGCTCCAATCAGCGAGCCAGCGAGCAGCAACATCACAATATCGAAAGTGAAGTTGAGAAAACTTTCTTACATTCTTGAACTTGTAAGTTAATTCCCAATTGGATTGTGTAATAAATTGGTGGGAGAGTAAAAGGAACTACACCTATTTGTTTGCTTGCCAAGGGTTGGATTAGACAATCGATCCAGTGTCACTGCATTAGCTATGGATCTAGAGCAAGGAGTCGATTAGCTTAGCTTAGCTTAGCTTAGCATAAAGACTGGAAGTGGGGAAAAAAGGTTGCCTGTCAGCACCTGTTAATCTCAGTAATTAACTTCCTGGTGAGGACTGGGAAAACCAGCTGAGACTCCAGGCAGTCACTGTGATGACTTTAGGGGAGCTGCTATGTGTATTTAGGAATTTTAGGGGACAGCCAGCTTAATTGTTACTCCTTGATTCCAGTCTTTATGCTACAGTAAAGTAAGCTAGTGCCTGGAAGGTAAGCTGTTCAATAGTTAATGCACAAACATGGGTGGTACTGAACTTCTCCCTAACCCTCCTGAATAAGTGTATTTCCCAAAATATTGAACAATTTATTGTAATACTTTTTTTAATTAGCAAGCTTCTGAATGGGGCTAACTTGATTTTGTGTTACAGTGAAAGTTAATAGATGTTTCCTAACAACACAATTGGTACTGGGGTGACTGCAGCTACACTAGGAACATTTAAGGTGAGTGAAAGTATGTGTGTAAATATGATGTGGGGCTCTGCTGGAAAAGAGCCTACTATATAATATAGCAAACTATATTCTATATACATAAATTAAAAATAATGTTTCTTGTTGAAAACGCTTTCCACCTTTTTGAATGGTTGAATTGTCTTAATTATCTCCTTAGCTTAAGACTGATAACATCATTGTGGAGGAAGTACATGTAACACCAAGTAGCAAGATTATTCTACTATGATTATTAAACCCAGTAACTGTAGTCACTGTCTGTTAAGCAAAAAGCCCATCATCCTAACACAGCACCTAGCAGTCCAGCTCCTCATCACTTTACATCATTCAAGCACAGCATGACCGGCATGACATCACATTTCTGCTCAGTGACATCACCAATATACCTTGCATAACCCTTAGTCATTTCCACTCCCACACTCCCTTTTCTTTTTCAGTTCTTCCTCCTACTGCCTTTTCTTTTATCTTCACTTGTTTCTTTATCTCTCTTTTCACAGCAACATCTAGAACTTTCTCCTTCTCCCTCATCCTCTCTGTTCTTGCTGAATCTCTTTTCCCGTGACAAAACACAACAAGCAGTTAATCAGCTTATACCTCTTCAAAAGTAATCAATAGGCAATTGCGAGTTCAAAACAGGATTCCTTTCTCTCTGACTGGATATGCTACTTATACCATATGAGCTACCGGCAGTCAATCAGTTAATAAATCAGCCTATTAATTAATCAATAAAACTTCCAGACACACACATTATACACACCCAACAGTCACACACAGGCAGGCACAGCCTTAAATCCACATGCAAATATAGGCAAGGACGAGCATACACACACACACACACACACACACACACACACACACACACACACACACACACACACACACACACACACACACACACACACACACACAGAGTCAGAGCAGACGCCGCGTCACCTCACCAGCATGGACACACAGTCCCTGGTCTGTCTCTGCCTGAATATCAATATCCTGGTGAGGCAGCAGAGGAGAGAATAAGGGAAAGAGAGAGAGAGAGATGGAGAGGTTGATTTGTGAATCAGCTGCTGTTCGCTTGCAGCTGACTCTCAGCTGCTATAGGCTGCATTAGCCTCAAATCTCAACACCCAACTCTCTCTCTCTCTCTCTTCCAGACTCCCTCCTTGCCTGTCATCTGTCTGCCCCCTCCCTCCTTGCCATTTCACCATCCCTCTGCTTCTCTTTTCCTCCGACTCTCTCGCTGCCACTCCTCCTCTCCCTCTCCTCCCTGCACAACCACCTCCCACTTCCTCCTCTGACTCTCTGGGAATATTCTGCAGCATCACAGTCTAGCGGAGGTGTATGCGCTAAAAAGAAATCTACATGCATGTTTCTGTATGTGTGTGTATGTGCACACATGTGGAGGGGTTTGTGTGATTACGTGTTTGCATATGTGCATTTATGGTAGTTTTTATGAGTGTTTATAGTGCAAATAAAGTCAGAAAAAGATAGCATCTTTGTACACATATGACCCTGATACACCTATCTGCTAGTGTGTGTGTGTGTGTGTTTGTGTGTGTGTGTGTGTGTGTGTGTGTGTGTGTGTGATATTCTTAGTGTCTAAGGAACTGCAGGCCTCCACAAAGCAACAGTTAAAACAGGCCAGTCATTCATCCACAGACTGCCGGGCTGCACCACAGAAAGCATTTGCTAATGCTGCATTGTCACAGTACTGATACAGGAACAGGGAACTTTCTAGTTTTCTCTTTCTGCAGTGCTGCTGCACTGTAGCATCGGTCCCAAGAGGAGTCTTGGAAAGGTCAGGAAATATTCACAGAACTGAGTGGTTGCTATGGATGGATATAATACATATATATTTCCAAGCTACAGCTTACTATTGTTTTGTAAAATGTGTTTAGTCAGGGTATGATTAAAAAAAAAAACACACAATATGACAGTAAGGGGGACAAGAGGGGCAAAAAACTAAATTGTCATCACCAATATACAAACAGGAGGGATTTTATACAGCAAAGATATGCAGTGGCCAGCTGGCCAAATCCAAGGCCTTTGGCCCTTTTAAAAAGGGCTTTTGTTTGATTCTCAGGAAATAATTAACAGAATAGTTAGATCTTTGAAAGGATGCACCTTCCCAGTATATTGTTTGTGGTGCGAAACCAAAGTCATATTAATTCCAATGTTGATTACCTAGGAATTCCCAAAGGCAAATAAAGTATCACACACACAGATTTTCAGGACAAAGTGGACTAATTTCACCAATTCCACCACTGGCAGATGGCTATAGCCCTGACTGTGAGTGCTAGTGGAAGTAAGGACTCACAACATGTAGTCAACACAACACTCACATTCTCTGCATCACTAAAAGATGTCTCTCCATATATTTTGAAAACAAAAAAAGAAATTGATGATGACAATAATTTGAGGCAGACATTTCACGAAACTGGACTTCACTTTGACATCAACACAATTTACACACTTAATGAAATATTACTGATTAAAATATCATTTTTATTAGATGCACTTATTTATCATTATTTGTTTACTTTTTTCTACATGTTTTCTATATTCACAATGATGATGACTTGGCATCACAACACATGGACATGTACTGTACATTTGTGCTGATATTCATCCAAAAGCATCCAAAAGCATTTATGCTGTGTTGTCTTTGCTTTGTTGTCAAACATGTTTGGAATAATGCAGCCAAATAGTCATTCATTCACATCTGAATGACGTTCAAGTCCTTTATAAACATGTATTGTTTGATTCCAGTGTTTGGGTACTGAGCCACAGAGCTGCCAGACTGTTTCAGTCCATATTTATTTGTACTTCTTAAATTAAGAGTTAAATACAGATTAGGAATTTGTAATGATCTCAAATTAGCTTGAAGATACACTATATATAGCATATTTACATTTTAGCAGTAACTGTAATAACATTTAATCAATACCTAACTGATTTAAAGTCACCTTGTGACTCAGTAAAAACATCTGTAATAGGGTAGAGCTAAATGTGTGTTCTCCAGAGGAGGCTGATAAAAGGGAAAGTCTATAAGATTACAGGTGGAATGTGCAGTTTGTGAAACTGGGTTGTTTCCTGATGAATATTGTAATTGTAAACCCATGAGATCCAAAGCCTTGCCAATTCTGTATTCATAAAGTGAGTTAGCTTGGAATTTAGTTGTTTAGCCTCTTCCCGACCAGAATAGTTGAGTGATTAGCCCAAAATATTGCATGCTAAACAATGCTGGAATGGAGTTCAGTAACAGCAATGACAGAAGTTATAATGATTTTTAAAACAAGCTAAAGACAATAGTTGTGTAGATGTGTTAATGCTTGCAAATGCCCCAAAATGATGGTCCAAAATCTTACCATTGAGGACGAGTGGGGCAGCCGGTTTGACCCTCATCTGGGTGTTGACCAGGTGGGGTCGGCCTGTCTTCTTGGAGCTGCGCTGGCGAGCCACCACCTTGGCTAGATGAGCTGTCTCATTGGACCCTGAGGCAAAACACATTGTCTGGAGAGATGGAGAGGAGCAGACAGACACACACTAATATCAATAAGAGATTCATCAGAGTTATAACCTCCCATTAACCTCCAGGTGTGCATCCAAATCATGCACATAGCGCTTTGGATACATTGAAACTTTACCCACATAAAACCAATAAAGAAATTGGGAGAAATCTCATTATAGTAGCTTGTTGTCATCAGTCATCTGGAATTAATCCTTTTAAGTTATATGAGATGAAATACTGGACTAGAAACAGGTATTTTCTAGACCAGAAAATGTTTTGTTTGTTAAATTTTGCCTGCTAATGACCCTTGCTCCTAAACAGCTGTAAGCAGTAGAAAAAAGAATAAGTCTTGTTTAATCACGTCTATCTTTCAAACCAACCATCCTGCACCAGTCTCACACACACACACACACACACACCTCTCCAGAGCGGTTGCGCTCTATGCGGACTAAAGTGGGCATGCTGGCTAGCAGCGCGTCCAGGTGGTTGTGTCCCATCTGTTTGTGTGGTATCTGTTCTCCGGTCAGCTCCTTGTACTCTGACTGCAGACGGGACAATGACACTCCGCTTTTGTTAGCCTGGAGGACGGCCCGCAGCATCTTCTTCACCAGCTCCACGTCAGCCATCTAGAAAAAAAAAATCCTATATTCCATAAATAAGCAAATAAATAAACAAAACTGATGCAGAAATAGAAAGCTGAAAGGTAGAAACGGAAACAGCTCCACACCTGCCATAAAAATAACTACACAAATGAAAACTACACAAGAGAAATACTTATATATTCAGAGTCAATAAATACATTGACAGAAGTACAGATCTTAAAGAATATTTACTAGCTCATATAAACCATGTAAACAAAGAAAGGAACAAGAAAACAAACAGATGAACCAATCCTCTGAACTTGACTAACTCATTTTGAAGCTTTTTGTCAATTTTGTTTTCCCTAAACCATTTAAGCCAGGAAGTTAAGTGATAATGATGATGATGATGTAAACCCATTCAGAACTGCAACAGTGTGCACATAGATTGAGTTTGTTCCATGTGCCAATTGCTGACTGGTTAGGCAGATTTCTATTAACTGCATTTCAATCAAGCTACAACCCTGTTACAGACAGCAATGGCTGTCAGAAATGTTGGTTTGGAATGAATGGAGGTAGTTTGTTTTCTATGTATAGTCATGTACATTAAAATAAGTATTTCTTGTTAGATATAAAGTCATTTTCTGTGATCACAACATGTATGTGCCTCATCTATCTCTATTCAATTACCATTCCACTGTAATAAGCAGGTATGTGACTTTATTCACTCCCAAATGCTCTAGTTTTTTACAGCCACAAGGTATCACTGTAGCCCCCTAGAGACATTTTAATGAAGGGCTTTAGACTGAAGATGTTACTGATTTCCCCTCTGTTGTACAGACTGTTACATTCCATCTCCCTGCAAAAAAAACACCAAACACTTTGAGTTTGTTTGCAGCCAAACCAAACAACCCTACAGAGGAATTTACAGAACTCTATAAAGTACAAACCTGAGCCATTATGGTCTTCGTAAAAAGTGTAATAACGACTACATCTCAAGAGTTCAACAAATATTCGTTGTGAAAGAAAACTCTGGACTCTTGCGGACGTGGAGACACACCCTCAACAAGCAGCTTCAATAACGCAAGTCTGCCCAGCGCTACACTGCGGCGCTGAAAAACAAGTGTCCAACCTACTGTGTGATCTGTACAGTCACCCCTGTTTGTGAGGCAGTTTCATCTTCCCTCCTGACCTCCCTCTATAAAGTCTCTATAAAGATGTGTTTTAAAAGTACATGTTAGCCTTTCCCGTACTGGGCATTGATGGTACTGTGATGAAGAAAAGGGTGAAAACTCTTGGAAACAAGTGAAATGATGTTGTCAGATCAACTTGACTAGTTACGAGTAAAATGTTTGCGCACTGGATGAGTGGCGGCCACTTGTTGATATGGCCACTTTCTGCAGCTCAGACAACAGACGGGACAGAGAAACTATGAATGACGTAACGCGTCACACTTCGACTCCACACCCTCCATCGGGACCAAACTATTTGGATGAAGTTTGCCCGTCTTTTTTTCGTTTTCTGAACTAAACTGTCGTTAAATGGTCCTGAAATATTGAATGAAGCCGGCCCAATGTCGCAGACACGGTGTACAGTCCGCCCAGGCAACGATACAGCGCGTAATATCGAGTTAAATCCTCCTGGACAGCGGCTTGTGAAGCTAGCTGGTAAATGCTACCCAACGACCGGAAGCACATAAATGTTGCCTTCATAATAAAACTACAGAGACGCACCGAATATTTTGTACTAGGCACATTAGTCACACAAGTTATGATTTTGAAAATCACAACCGGAAGTACGTCGCTACGTCCTCGCTAGCTTGAAAGCTTTCGAGCCATCCAAACCGGGAGTATAATAAACACCCGGCAAGACTTTGCCAGGAGAAAGTATTATAAAAAGTAAATGTAAGTCAGAATAAAAGTTATAAGAAACATTCTACCTTGCTCTACACAGACAGGGGAGGTGAAGTCAGGACCTGGTCCAGTCGCTGTCAGTGCTGTCACCGCCACAGGGCTGAGCTGCGGCCGGAGCTCTGTCCCCGGAGCGTCTGCCAGCCGGTCCAGGCACAGCCTCTCCTCCGCCACCTGATTGGTCGGCTGTGCACCGGCTTCTGGCTAATTACACGTCAATATATGCATCCGGGCCCGCAGCACAACACAGAGCGTCCTGTCCAACCACAGAGAAAGATCATTAACGTTACATTGTATGGAATAATGTGTGCTGGAGCTGTAAGTTTATTAAGGTCAGCTCTTACCTTAGTTTTCCTCCTGAAAGTCCAAACAAATTAATATTTTTCATGTATATAAATTATTCCCATTATTTAATCATTTGTACAGTATTTTTGATTATACAATTTATTGTTTAGTCCATAAGATAAGTAATATCTATTACAATTACCCAGACTCCAAGACATCAAATAGCTTGTTTTGTCCACACCCAAATTATTTATTTCCCATCCCCTATAATATTTGATGCACTCTCTGTCATTAACTTACTGTACTCTGTACGTTTCACTCACATTTCCATTTGATAATAAAAATGCTGTTTTAAAAACCTCAGGTAATTGTTGAAGTATCTTATTGTGTTAATTTTACTCCTGCCTTTCATCTTGCTTCATAGACTGCTTTAACACAATCATCCCCATCTATATTTAAATTCAAATAGCAATATAATGTGCTTTTTTGTTTTATAGATAATTGAGTTCAGTCAGATTGTGAAAACTCAAGATCATCACCACCTTTTGATCTCTGTCCATAGTCCTTGTTTGTTTACCTGTACATTTCTTTTTATATAAAGACAGTAAATGACCCCAAAAAAAAAAAAAAAAAGGAATAACACCCCATTCTCTAGGTCCTCAAGAGAAAGAAGACACTCCCATTAAACCTTGTAAAGAAAAGGTAAATGGTCAAGATCCCTTCCCAGATGTGCAGTGAGTAAAACAAAGGTAGCCATGAGTGGGTGCAGCCACCAGGGGCGCATCACCGGAAGTGACCTGTCAAACAACGGAAAAGACTACCGGATACCAAGCTAGGTAGCTAAGAAACAACAACAGAGGATCATTGTTTGTCTGTATGAACACCTTGAGGAGCTACATTTAAAGACAGGAATCTCTGTGTATGCCAGGTGAGCTAACGTTACAAAATAATTGTATTCTGTGTTAGCGTCTTAGCAGCACTTTTCTTTCTGACTTTAGCTTCCTTGCTAAGCCGCTTTGTCCAGTTTTAACGCTAGCTATGAAGCTAATCTAGCTCGTTAGCTAGCTGTTAACCTAATTCTTCAGTCAAACTAACCCCAGAGGGCAAAGTAAAGCGTTGAGTCTTTTTAAAGTCACTGTGTGTGTGTGTGTGTGTGTGTGTGTGTGTGTGTGTGTGTGTGTGTGTGTGTGTGTGTGTTATTTTGAACCTTGACTGAACACGGTTGAAGCAGAAGAGCCTGTATTTAATGACATTTCTCTCTCTCGTACTTTGTCCACCCTCTTCTGTCGTAAAGATGTTTTATTGCATTGTGTATTTTTTGCAAGTGTGCTATACTTAAATATTGTTTTATGACAGAATAAAAACAAATCATTAGATTAATTAAGCACTTAACCCCTGTGTGTTAGCTGCTGTCTAACGTTAAGCTCATTGTTAACATATGTCAAGATTACTTTATATAAGTTAGGCGGATATGATATATCTAAGAAAGGGGGAAAACACAGCAGTTTCTCTATACGGTACTACTTCTTTACTGTACAAATACAGCTATATAGTAAATGCAGGCCAGTACATAAATTATCAGGTCACCATTTAAAAGGCTCAGTGTAAGGCACCAGACTAAACATCCATGTGTTTTCTGTTGTGGGAGGACACAGCAGCCAGATATTGCCCTCCCTCTCTCAGTTCAGAGCAGCTGTGACGGTCTGTGATGCACCACATGGGATCCCTCCCTGAAATCACAGCCTTGTATAATTGTCCTCTCTTCCCTCTGGAAAAGAGGAAGGGATGTAGTTGAAAAAGTGGTGTTAAATTAGTGCTTGAGCTTTATCTTCGTACTGGAGCTGAAACCATTTTAACTTGCTACCATGGCGTTGAACAGGCGACATTCTTATACCCCCCGGGTAAGTAACGTGGACGACAATGAATACTATCTTATTTAGTACATTAGTGTTAGTTTTGATTATTGTACCTGATCAGTATAAGTCTTTACACTGTAATGACTACACCTACAGAGATTAGTAGATTTGTGTCACTCACCGTACAGCAGATGTTGCATATTGGGTCCTCGTCCGAAAAAAAAGGAGGAAGAATATAATTTGAGTAACTCTAGTTATCCTGGAGATAAGATAAAGATTCCTTCCTAATTTTTAATCCTTTTCCCATTAACCTTACATTGTTTTTTCTGGAGAATTCTGCCAAACCTTCTTTCTGCTTCTCTAAACAAATAAAAAAAATCCTGTGTTACAGCAACAACATCATAACGTACTGATAAACCTTTTCTATCCAGTTTTCTGCCCTCTGGTTTAAAACTGCGAGGCAGCGTGAATTCACATGTCCCTACAGCTCCATAAAAGGATTAGACTCTACCGCAGTCCTAGTTTGTCTTCAATAAGCATCTTTGTGTGAGCAAGACAGGAATATGGCTTGTTTATTGTGGTCCAGGACATATGACCGGGTGCATGAGTGTGTTTCTGTGCTTTGTGGCCTTAAGACTCTCTTGTCATTTATTTTTTTTGATTCCTAAGACTGCTCTTAATAGCTGGAGCAGGGAGAATTATGGGGCATTATTGTTGCACATAAAACAATGCTGTGTGTTTGGGTCTTTAGCAGGTCTGGTGGACAATATTTGACATTCTTTGTCATACATACTCTCACTAAGCTATGTCTAGTTGACCAAATTAAGATATAAAAAGATACCATGTCTGAGGGATTCTGAAACTGAAGCAATAAATTCTCTAGTTTGTAGTGACCCCACCCACACTGTACCCCTCATTCCCATTGGTAACCAACCTTTCACCATATCTTTCTCCCTACTTTATCCCCAACTGTATTTCTCAAATCCTCCAGCTGACCAGCCCACTGATCAGCAAAATGAGCAGCGCAGGAACGGTGGAGAGTGGCAAACCTCCAAAGGTAGGTCATTAATCAATACAGACACAAGAAATGGGAAAAAAGACATTACTATGAACTAGTGTACAATGACTCACTGTCTCTCACCCTCTTGTCTCTCCTAGATTGGCTCTGTAGTGGAGGTAATAGGGAAGGGTCAGCGTGGCACTGTTGCCTATATCGGCGCCACCCTCTTTGCCTCTGGGAAGTGGGTGGGCGTCATACTGAATGAGGCCAAAGGCAAGAATGATGGCACCGTGCAGGGGAAACGCTACTTCACCTGTGAGGAAAACCATGGGATATTTGTCAGACAGTCCCAGGTTGGTGTGTGTGTGTGTTGTGTTTTTTCATGTGCGTGTTGTCCTGATCACATCCTGATTGCAACCCGTGTTTCTCTGCCTCTCTCTCTGTACAGATCCAGGTGGTGGACGATGGCTCCAGTGCCACCTCACCAGATACTCCTGAATCAGGCCTTGCAAAGATACTCCGACAAAAAGGTGAGTGTGAGAATAATAGAGTAACTCAAAATTAATAATATAATAATTATAATAATAATAATAATAATAACAGCAGACAATAATTCTTGATTGGTTTCCTTTAGAAATTCCTGAGACTCCCAGAACAACCAAGCAGGTAGGCAACATTACATACACCTTACTGCTTTGTGTTGTTTCCATGACTTGGCTTTAAAGATGGTTGGATTCCTGTGGCTCTTGGTGTATGTACCATAGATTTAAGAAATATGGCTTGTCCATATACTCACTCTTTTTAAGTAAATTACTGACACTTTACATACCCTTTCCATGTTGGTTAATGTAAATGTGTTTGTGTGCAACTAAATCCACTCTGATATGACTGTCAAACCTCTCTCCGTCCCTTTGCTGTGTTTTCCTGAGCAGAGGTGCTTTGTTTCAAAATGTTGCCCAATCTTTCTTTTTTTCTTTCGTGTACAATGCAAATGAGTTTCTGTTTGCCTCTCAGCTTTGGGTTGACTTGTCATTTTTGTTTTTCTGAATACCTTTTACAGACACCTGTGAACGTTAAGAAGGTAGAAATATTTAAATTCAGCACATTTGCTTTTGCCTTGGTTGTTGTTAATCACACTAATGTGGCTACTCATCTTTTATATTTAAGTTACCCTTTTACATTTACAACGTTTGCACGGGACATGAAGACATCACCTGTTATTGATACATATCATTTTCACTGTATTTTCTCCGAGGCCACACTCCATTCATTACACCAGATGATGTTGCTTGTTGGCTAACTTTATTTTATTTTATTTTTTTATTCTGGTTAAGACATCCAGTGTTTACATTTACAGAGAGAGAGGTCATCATGATGGTGTCATTCCTCTTGTCCTCACAGTTCAGTGACCTTTTGCCACTGTTTAACATTGTTGCATGAGTTCACATTTTATCCTGCTCCTATGGCTTGAGTCATAAAGAATAACTGTCCTTTAAAATGGTGCATGCAGCCATCAAAGCTATGATCAGTGTATTTAAACTAACAGTGGCTATGCTTCTTATGTGCTGCTAATCTCTTTCTTGCTTCACCACCGGACGTGCGTGTGTATATCCGTGTGTGTGTGCGCGTGTGTGTGTGCGCGTGTGTGCGTGTGTGCATCCCTCTCTCTGCAACTCACCTCCTCCTCTCCTCCAGTCCTCTACCCGCCGCTCTTCCAAGGTGAGCTTGTCTACAGCAAACAGGGGAGGTCAAACAGCATCAAAATAGAATGGTTTTGTTATTTTCATGTGTCATCTTTGTAATACTTGGCAAGTTAGACCAAGGGCACAGCTTCACATGTTCAAAATGTTTTCAAAGGCCATGCATTTTTGTGTAGTACGATAAGAAGTACATACTTGTCCTCAAACTACAGTAAGAAGAGAACCAAGATTACACTGGTTTGATAAGTGCAACAGAAATCCATTTCATTCATTATCCGCATTTGTGCCTCTAATAAAGGCCCTTTTGCATAGTTTTAATAGTTATTTGGTAAGTCTGGAAGGTGTTGGTAGATTACAT